ATCAAGGAAGTATGGGGGGGGAAATTTGGGCCCCCTACTTTGATGCATTTAATTGTTTGCACGGGGGTGTGAGGGAACACTTAAGTCGATCAAAAGCCTCGGTGTAAACGAGGGGGAAATCTTTATGCTTAAAAAAAGGGTTTCTATTTAGGAAAGGTATACTCATAAAAGGAAAAACCTTGGGTTGCAAAACCGGGTAAAAGGAGACCAAGTTTTTGTCCCCAGGTCGGGGTTTGCCGGGACCCTTTATAAAACCATGTTCTTAGTTTAGTCAGGACCAACCTCTAGGGGGAACACCTGGGTATTGCAAAAAACATTTTCCGGGGTTTTCCGGGCTTTTTCTTCTGGTCTCAGCTGGGGGAACGGGTCAGAGAGTAAATTGAACCATCAATGTCTCTCATTTTATGGGGAAACCTAGTCGAAGTTTTTAAAAACCTGTTCCCTTAAATTTTTATTTCAGCCCCGGGGGAAACCCCCAAAGGAAAGCTGGTAGAGATGTACTTGGCCCCTTTTCCCAAAGGGACCAAACGGAAAAAAAAAAAAAAATGAATTTACCACAAATATTTGCTCCATTTACCGGGGGTACCTGGAACCCGGCCCCCTCATAAGAAAAACAGTTTCTTTAAAGTTTTAAGGGCTTTGTAAAATTTCTTTTTTCATTTTGGTTTTCCACAAGCAGGAAAAAAAGACCGGGGGCCTAACTTTACCTCAAAGTCTTTTAGAAATTTTTTGGGGAAGGGAAAATTAAAAGTAGACCCCTAATTTGCAATGGCCTTCCCCCTTTCCATCTAAAGGGGGAAATAGAGAAATTAAAAATTAAACCCCTCAAGACAATGATGCAACCCTTTGGGTTTATAGACAATACTAACAACTGGGAGAGGGGGCCCCCTTTTTCTTTGAAATTTGCGGGAGGGGGGAAAGCACTCTGGAAAATTCTGAGCTATTGGCTTGGGGGGGGATGGGAGGGTCCCCCCCCTCGGAGTTTTTTTCTAAATTTTAAGAAAGGGTTTGGTTTATATGAGGGGGGGGGATGGTACCAGTGAACGGCCCCAAAACCCAGCCAGGAGGGGATGTTTGGGGGGACCATAAGGGAACCAAAAAACTCGGAGGCTGGGGGGGAAGGGCTGATACTGGACCCAATTTCCCTTTTGGGGGAAAATCTGTATGGCAAGTTGCTGTGAGCCTAACATTTGTGGGGAATTTTTCCCGGGGTTAGATTTTAAAACCCACACCCCGGGCAGAAAAAGAAGAGTATAATGTTCACAAAAAACCGGCCCAAAAGGGGTTTTGAAGTTTTTCCCAAAAATTTTCAGAGAGCCCCAATGTTTTAAGGGAATTTTAAAGGGCTGCAAAAAAATAATCTTTTATAAATCCCAAAAAGGTTTTTAAAAGGAAATAAAAATTTGTGAAAAAGTTTTTGGGGAAAAAATGCGTGTTTGGGTTTTTTAATGAAAAAAAATTTTGGAGGTTTGGCCTCAGCCCCCCTTGGAAACCCTTTAAATAAAAAAATTTTGGGGTTTGTCCGGGAAAGGGGGAAAAAATTGAAACTCCATGAAAAAATTTGTTAAGGAAACTGAGCCAATTCAAACAATTTTTGTGTGGGAAAAAAACGGTTTTGAAAAATTGGGGAGGAGGAAAAGTGAAATTCTTTCCCAAAACCAGTTTTTTAAATGCTTAGTGAGGTCAGGGGGGCTTTTCCCCTGCTTCATGGGGTTCCCCCAAAAAGATGGCACCCTGGGGGTAAACACTGACTACCAAAAAGTAGTTTTAAAAACAGGGTTTTCAGAATTAAAAAATTGATACTTATGCACCTTTTAAAAAATTTCAAAAAAATTTTTTAAAAAAAAGCTAAAAAAATGAAGATGGGGATTTCCAGGGTCTGTGTTCAAACCCCCATTTTAAAAGTGTTAATGAAATTTTTGTTTATTGTGTGTTTAAAATTTTTTGGTGAGATGGAAGTGATGGTGTTTTTGTAAACTTATGTATCCCCAACCCGGGGGCAAAAGGGTGTCTTTGGTTTTTTGTTGTTGGGGGACTGCGAAAAGGTTGCAGGGAAATGTTCCCATCGTTAGCAACCTTCTAAATTTTTTAAAAGTAAAAAACTTTAAACCCCAGGAAAAAAAATTTTCATTTTGGGGGTGGGTATTCAGCATTTGTACATGTCTCAGGATCTCTTCATCCTTTCCTGTGTTTTAGTGACTAAAATCAGCTCTTAAAAGGGGTTTTTTTTCCTACGCCTTTTTAAATTTGGGGGGAAAGGGGTTTTAAAAAATAAAAAAGGGTCAGAGAATGTGGTTGCCCGATTTCTCTCTCTAGATGGTTTTTTGTAATGCCATGGGGGCGTTTCTTTGTCATAGTGTTTGTCATGTTTCTACCTTGTTGTTTTTTTAAATGGGGAACTCTCGGCGAGCCTGAGTTAAATCCCCTACCCCCATTGTGAAAGGGGTTTGATTTAGAGCCCAAAAAGGTGTGCGAGGGGCAGGGGGTACTTAAATGTTTAGTTTTTGGCATGTTGACAAAACCCTTTGGTAACTTTAGACGTTTAGGGAAAAGGGTTTTTGATGTTGTTTTCTTTTGGGGGCTCTTATTTAAAAAGGCCCAAAGGTTTTCCTTTGTGGCCCCCGGACCCCTCCCCTTTTTTCTTGTCAGCCCCTCTTCATTTAAATTTTTGGGGGAACTGTGTGGAGTGGGGCCTCGGAAATGGGCTTGAGTGCCCGACATGTTAAAGGGTCGTTTTAGTGGTTTTACTGGAAGTCTCACCTTTTTGGGTTTGGCCCCCAAGGGGAGAGACCCTTGACATGTTTTGTGAAAATTTTTTCCTTTCCTGGTGTACACCTGACGGGGGGTCTGGGTTTTGGGTCTACCCCTGTCTTTCCCGATCAGGGAAATCCAAACCCTGGAGTAAACCTTTGGCTTGCGGAATTAAACCCTAGCAAAAAGGCACAGGGTGTTGGGCGGCTTTCACAAATGGGGTTTTTGTCAATTTTTGCATTGTAATGTTATTTTTTAAAAGTCACTAAAAAATTTTAAATTTTTACCCCTTGATATATGGGTTTTGGTTAAAAAAGCTTTTTTTAAAAAATTCTTTCCCAAACTGTTGTAAATAACAAATAAAATGAAGATAGTTATGGTGCTAGGGGAAAAATTTTAGCAATTTTTAGTAGTTCCCGGGTTTTCCCCCCTTCAGATTTAAACAAAATACTTTTTAATACCGTAAACCTGAGGGACACGGCTAGTTTTGTAGGGCTTTTGTCGGAGGTGGGGGTGTTATGGGGCCCATAGGACCCAACATGAAATTTTTAAGTACAGTTACTCTGGAAAAAACCCAATTATATTTAATTGATGGGGGCTTTGCTCTAAATGCAGAAGGCTGATCAACCTTAGACTGAGGAGGCGCTGGGGGCAAAAACCCATTTTTTTCAATATAATGGTTTATTTCATAGACAAAATAAACACACAAAATTTTAAAAAAGTGTTTATTTAAATTTTTATTTCTTTTTTGTAAAAGTAAAAAAAGGTGTTTGGGGAATTGGGTAATGGGGAAAAGGGGCTTGGGCAACGTTTTTTTTGGGGGGAGGAGCTTAGCCTCTCTCCCCTCTCCCCTCTCTCCCTCTCCTGACTCCCCTCTCTTGTGGCTGGGCCTTTCAACTGGGAGGGTCTCTGGGTCCTTCTCCCATCTTTTGGGGGTCATGGTTCCTTTCCCGGGGTTTAGTTTTTATAATTTTTAAATTTTTTCCCCCCATACCCAGGGGGGGGCTAAAAATGTGTCAAAACAGGGTTAGCCCAAGTTATGTAGGGAAGGGGGTGAAGGACAAGATTTTGCCAAAAAAACCATGTGGAGCAAAAAAGGGATGGGATTTTTAATTTTTTTTTGAAAATTTGGGGGCTGTGATTGTATATTCTGTACTATCTATTGGGGGAAACAGTTATATTTTTTTTTAGTATAGTTTACATAACCGGAAGGGGGGGGGGCTGGTTTAAAAGGGTTTTCCAAAACACTCCAAAATATCAGCCATGTGTAAATAAATTTCCCCCGAAAAAATAAGGCCTTAAGGGAAAAAGCTAACCCCCCCACAAAAAACATGTATGAGAACCTTTACCATCCAAGGGAAAAAAGGGGAAAACCCAAAGTAAAAATGTATGAAAAAGTACTTATTGACCTTTTCCTTTAAAAAAAACTTTCTTAATCCCTTATTTGGGAAAATGAGTGGTCTCCTTCTGAAACCCGAGGGGAAAAGGCAGGCAGAGCTAGCCAGCCAGCCAAAAGCCATCTAGCAGCCCCCAAATCAAACCAGCCAGCTGCATTAATTAACCCCCTTCCAGTTCATCTCTCTCTCCCTTTTGGGCATTGGGGGGATAAGACATTCTGACAGGATGACACTACCAGTTGCATCAAAATCAAAAGGATGTGGCACAAATGCTGCACAAAGGTTATTATCTAGGTTTTTGATATTTCCTTGACCACCTGTGGCCACGTCCATCTCAAAGCCAGTAAACTTAGGGTCAACGTCACTTTCCTTGAAAAAGGAGTGTTAATACAACATAGCATTAGTGATTCCCTGGAGTTTGTCATCCTGTTTGCTCTAGCTGGCATTCAATTGAACTGATGCTCCCACAAGGTATTAAGTGGTTCCAGATTTTAATACTCTGCACATTGAGTGTTAAGACCCATTCTATACTGCCTACACTTATCAGGCCTCTGGTGCCAAATTTGAGGGCAGGAAAAATAGTGCATTGATGGACATCTTGAGCACTAATAGTAAAACATTGATCAACGGTTTGAGAATTAAAGGGTTAAAGAATATTTCAAACAGGGCTGGGCTTTAAAATAAGCTTAAGTAGGATAATTACTTGGCCTGATAATTAAACTGTGCAAAAAAAGAATTTTGTTTTCGGGTAAAACCATGAGGTATCTTGCTCAAGTGAGGAAGTACTTAATTATGTGCCGCTATCTCTTTTTTTTTGTGGTACTTATATTTGCATTAAAAACACTTCTTCACCTTTAATTTTAATCGATCCAGCTTATCTTGACATTTTTGAACTACAACAAGTTGAGCATCTCGCCGCCTACGTAGTGCATCAAGGGGCTCATACAGTGCTTGGTACTGCTTCACTGGATCACCCATCACCTGCTGAACAGCTAAACTTATCTCTTCACTTTTAGGTTTCATCTGAAATGAAATAAAATAAATCAATATATGGATGTTCTAGCATAAATATTTACTGAATGTACAGACACTCCTCACTTAACTACTTACCTCTTTAACCCTTTCAGAGTCCACACCTCCCCATCTGAAACTTGTCCACAGGATCCAAGAACTTTAAAAAAAAAATATTTTTTCTTATAAAAAGGTTGAGAATCTTTTTCTGAAGGTAATAAAACAAAAAGTACGAAATTTGATGGAAAATCGATGAAATTATACTCTTGGTAATTTTGGTGTGTCAGTGATATTTACGCATCGGCGATTTTGCCCATGTTGATTCCCATTTTAAGCCAATTAAATTATTCCAGTCGACCAAATTCTTTGTTATTTCACTAGTACTAAGTCTATTTTTATCAATTAAGCACAAGAAATTGCCCAGTCAGCTGTTTCAACTACCCAATAAAGTGATCGGAAACTGATAATTTGGCCAATTTCACAAAAAGTTCAAAATATTCCAATTTTAAAACAGGGTCCAGAATAAACAATGTAGGCATTCCTGGCACTAAAATAACATTTCCTCTGTTTATTAGTTATGTTTCCAGGCTTTCAAATGAATTCCATTTTGATTTTTTATTCACATAATGAATTTTTATTCACACCAAAAAATTGAAGATATACTGTTATGCAATATTGTAATAATTGTATAAATAATATCAGTGTTTATGAACACACATTAAACCCACCAGCTGACGTGTATTGGACGCGTGACATTTGTTTACTCTTGAGCATCAGCAAAAATTGACACATTTTTCACCATTTTGAACACTATTTTCACTACACTTAAAACCAATCAAAAATCATCTCTATTTTCCTGTAACATCAATCTTCCATTCTCATCAACTGAGACCAAGAAACCGTTAATACAACTGTAAAAAACACATGAAGACACACTAACAAACGTTGCTGTTTTATCCAAAAATAGAGTCTTGCAGTTTTTGTTCTCATACATATTTATTTATATTATTTATTAACAATTTGAGCCAACACATACAGAGGTACAAAAAAATACAGATAAGACAGCATGCCAAAGCAACTTATACTATGCACAAGCATTACAGGCTGGCTTAATAATTTAACTTAAGAATTTAACTAAACAAGCGAATGAAATCAGTGATAAAACATTAATTAACACAGATTACTATAAAAGCACAAGTGAGTATTACAAAGACAGGTCATATGGTTACATCATTGTTGTACATTTCAGTAGAATGGAGTATTCTGATTTAGTAGTGTATTTAAAAAATAATAAAAGGTTAGATTGGGTCACTTTAGGTTTAACATTTATATGATATAATTGTGAAGAATACAAGTTTAACCCTTGACTGATTCGACGCATAAATAACGTACATTACGAAGCCAATGTTCAGACGAATTTTATACGCATAAATTCTAGCAGCGTTCAATCACAGCCAGGAGAAAGCTGGTAGCCCACATGTGAAGAATGGGTCTCCATGGTCAGTGTGCACCATATAAAAAAAAATCTACGACGAGGATGGAGAGACCAGTGGTGCGCTTTGGTGGGAATGCCATTTCAGTTGTCCTTTTTTCACGCATGTTCTAGCGGTAAGAAATATGTGATGCCCTAGCAATATGACTCTTCTCCTCCCAAGTGATGCTCCCTAACACAGATGGAGTGTCCAGTGAAGATCAAATTTCATGATTTGGAGGAGTACATGGACCAAAGCAATGAGGAGGAGGAGGAGGGAAGGAGGGGGAGGAAGAGGAGGGAGGAAGGATGGAAGGAAGAGGAGGAGTAGAGGCAGGAAAGGAGAAAGGAGGAGGAGAAAAAAGAAGAATGTAAAAATTTGTTCCCTTGAAAGCAGAAAAACAAAAAGTCCACCCCATGACAGTGAACAAGAATAAGGGGAGATAACATCTGATCAAGAGCTGACTTTGATGAGCGTAAAAGGAGGGAAATATTACATGACCAGTCGCCCTCCCTTTGTTTGCTGGTACAACAAACATTTCTGTCTGCGTCTATTTGTCTGTCTGATCAAGCTCCGCTGTCTGTCCCTCTAGCTCTCTGTCTCAGAGAGAGCCACAAAAACTGTGTCATCACCTTTACACACACATCTTCAAGCAGAGTATGCACTTTGTCTGGATTACCTTGGTTATCCTAGGTACACATTTACACTATGTATAAACTGTATTTATTGTACCTGTACAGACAGAGATAGGCAACAAGATAGAAGAGACAGACAGATTGAAAGATAAGAATGAGGGAGAAAGATAATTAATAGAATAGGTAGGAGGGGAAGCCGCATACCAGACCCCATTGTTTTGACAGGAGGTAGGGGGTGATGAGTAATAGAGACAATATGTCACTTTACAGCTGCCGACATCTGACTCAAAACAATTATAAGCCACACACTCCCACATACACAAGACAAGGAGGAGGAGAAGGAGGTGAAGTGAGAAGGAGGAGACACTGAGAAGAAAGGAACCACGGACCAGTAGAAGTAGAAGTAGAAGTAAAGGTAGAAGGAGAAAGGAGAAGGAGGAGGGAGAGGAGAGAGGAGAGGAGAGGAGGAGGAGGAGGAAGTAGGAGGAGACGAAGAAGTGTGAAGGAGAAGGAGAAGGAGGAGAGAAGGAGAAGGAGGAGGAGAAGGAGGAGGAGGAGGAGGGAGGAGAACAGAAGGAGGAGGAGAAGTGCGAGAGAAGAAGGAGGAGCGAGCAAGGAGGAGGAGAAGAAGAGGAGGTAGGAGGAGAAGAGAAGGAAGGAGAAGGGAGAGGAGGAGAGGAGGAGGAAGGAGGACGGAGGAGGAGAGAGGAGAAGGAGGAGGAGAGAAGGAGAGAGGAGGATGAGGAGAGCAGGAGGAGAGAGGAGTGAGGAGGAGGAGGAGGAGGAGGAGGACAGGAGGAGGAGGAGGAGAGGAGGAGGGGAGAGAAGGAGAAGGAGAAGGAGAAGGAGACAGGAGAAAGGAAAGGAGAAGGAGAAGGAGGAGAGGAAAGAGAGGAGGAGGAGGAGAGGATGATTGTTTTGTTTGTTTTTGTAAACAAGTTTTTGTAAACAATATATTGATAATTATGTTTGTGTGCTTACATTGTGTTGCTATACAACGAGTGTATATATATACATCGCCACCTTACCTTTGGTCTCATGGCCACATAAGTCTATGTGAAAAAATAAAATAGTAGAAAAAAACAAAAACCTTCAAAAACAAGATAAACTAAAGTTTACACCCGGGTGAGCTGCATTCGTCCTCTGTTGCCATAAAAATACGCCGCTCATTTTCTGCAAACTTCACGGCTCTATATCTCGGTAAGTACCGATGGTGCAAAAAAATTTTTTTTGCGACTGAAAACACTCAGAAAAATAATCATAACATTTTCATAAGAAAAAATAAACACACTTTTTTTTTCTTGAATATTTGCGTACCATAGAATGACAATTTTGTCAGAGAGGGCCTGACAACATCAAAGGGGTTAAGATATACAATTTATGAGGTATCAGTTATTCAGTATTTATATTGGTTTTGGGTGAGTAAGTGATCTTTGAGAAGAGACTTGAATTTATAAAACAGGTATGTGTTTCTTTTATATTTACAGGTAATGAATTTTTCCAGATTTTAGGGCCCTTTATGATGCATTGAGTTTTTGCATAGCGTGAGATGCGACACGAGGAACATCAAAGCAATGATCATGTGGCCTTCTGTGTTATGGGCATGTTTCTGTTGAGGTTGGCAAGGAGATGTTTGAGGGGAGGGGTTCTATACATCAGAGTTAAGTGTTCTAGTTTGTAATACAGGGCAGTAATAAGTATTGGAATGTTTTGTATGTGAGTAAGGTTTAGTTGTAATTAGAATATTGGTGGAGTGTGCAGCTGTATGAGAATTTGTTATCATTCTAACATGCAGCCTTTGTTGGGTAAATTAATTGGTCTGAAATGGTTAATTGTTTTTTTGAGTCCCCATGCACAAATTCCCATTAGGTGAGATAGGGGAAATAAGAGTGATATAGGGCCAGGAGGGCTAAGACTGTGAGCATAGTACCGTATTCTTCGATAGTAATGCCCTACAGATCTTGGAAATTTTCTTAGAAATTTGTGTATATGTGTATGATATTTGAGTCTATATATCAAGGTGGGATTCCTAAGAATTTCCCTCTTTAGCTTTGTGATAGGTGATCCGTTTAATCATTATACATTCAGAGTGACATCAGTAGCTTCTGTTACCAAACTGATAACGTAGGTTTTGTCATGTTTAAGTGTAAGTTTGTTATCCTCACCAGGTAGAAATTTCTGTAATTCGGGATTGTACAGCAACAGGCTAGCGTGACTGGGCTCGGGTGGGAGAAGACTAAGTAGTGTCATCTGCAAATAGTGTGGGTTCATGAGTAATTGCGAAGCATTTGGTAGGTCATTTAGTATAGGAGAAAGAGAAGAGGGCCAAGGACACTTCCCTGTGAGGACACAACTGAAATTTTTTGTCCAGAAGAAGTTTGCCCCATTTGCGTACCATATAGGCTTCTGTTGCTGAGGATATGACTTGACAGGTAGTTAGGGAGTGCCTCCTTATACCATACGTGGTGACCATTTTACGTGGAGCAAGTCATGGTCAACTGTATCAAACGCTTTACGTAAGTCAATGAAGATCCCGTGGGACTTCTTTTTCTCTATTGCAGTGTATCTAGTTCTAGCATGTGTATAATAGCATCATCAGTATTTTATTCAAGGCCTGAAATCCATTGGCGGGGTTGTTACGTTTTGGGAGATAAGGTAGGGAGTAGATTCGTTTATGAATTAAATTTTTCAAAGATTTTTGCAGAGAGGGTGTAAGTTGGATATTGCCTTTAGTTATTCAACTCTTCTCTCAATCTCTTCATCTCCTCTTTGTGGATTCAGGTGGTGACCCTTGCTATTTTGAGTACTGGACAGGGAAGGTGTGGATTCAATGGATTTGTTTAAAGCATGTTGCAAGATTGGTGATAGCAACTTGTGACACTTTTTTGTATATAAAGGGTGGTAA